AATTGAGTAACCAAACCTACCAGTTCCCATAACAAACCCTTTGGCTTTAAAGCCATTTCCCTATTAGTAGCAGTAGAATCTACACCAGGGATCATGTAAATCTTTCCTTCCATATTTTGGAATTCCATTATTCGTTTTCTGGACGGCACGGTGTCCCAAGCTTGAGTCTCGGTGTTGTACACTTCAACACAGTTCAAAGAATCTGGACTTTCAGAGCTTCCTGCCAAATACATTTTCCCATCAAAGTCAGTATTGGTGTGAGCCAGTCGCATTCTTGGAGCTTCAAGCCAAGTGTGAGTTCGACAGTCGAGGAACCAAACGTTAGAGCATGGAGAATCTTTGTTGGCTGCGGTAATGGCGTAAAGATAAGAACCAACAGCGACAATACTTAACCATTCCTCATCAGGAGAGTTGAGAACTGGCGTTGGAGCCAAAACATGAGCACTTGAATCCTCTTTCTTCGTCTTCTTCTTCTTCTTCTTCTTGGTTAGGGTTTGATTAGGTTTCTTGCGGTAGAGGGTGAACCAGCGAGGGTTAGCTTCATCAGGGAAGCGTAAGCAAACATAGAGAAAAGTCTCGGTACGACCTAAGAGGGTTCGGGTTTGGTAAAGCTCCGGTGAAGCAAGGATCGATCTGAAGCTTTTGGAGACTAAGGAGAGCTTTGTGTAATACGATCTCGAGACACGGGCTAAGATGCTCACGACCAGATCATATGGAAGTGACGGTCTCTCGAGATGCTCACTACGTTTCTTCGTCTTCGTTGTCGGCCACTTCCTCTTCTTCGTTAGGGACGACGACATAGCTGAGAGTATCGAGACGATATCGCATTTGGTGGTGATGAAACTTACATGTGGTTGTGCATGAGAAGCATCTACAGACCGTGAATATTGAATCTTAATGGGCCTCCAAAAATTATTTTATAGAAACAAATATAATTTATTTTAAATTTGACCAAAAACTATTTTTTATGGAAACAAATATAATTTATTTTAAATTTGACAAAAAATTATTTTTTGGAAAAAAATATAATTTATTTTAAATTTGACCAAATATTATTTTCTTGGAAACAAATATAATTTATTTTAATTTGGAAAAAAAAAATTCCTTTTGTAGGTAAAATTTTATTGAATCTCCACCAAAAAAAAATCATAATCCAATATGGATTTCTTTCTCAATAGGGTCACTTGAAAATTTCAGAAATAAATATATATTTTTTTCTTATTTCTTTCTTTCTAGAAAGCTCATACTAATCTTGTCTTTTTTTTTAACCCTCATAATGTATAATAGAGTCACCAACTTCAAATAACCTTATGCAATACTCTTGACACGAGAAACCTAATCCAAACACACATACACAAAATTATGAGAATTAAGTGTCAATCATAAAATACATTAACGATGAAACTTCGCGTGAATTCCCGTGAAGTATATGAATGCAAGACTTCACTTGTTTATTTCGTTACATGGTTTATTTTAAGTGGTCTGATTGGTCGATATAAGGAAGAAGATGGTTAGGGCATTTTGTAGGTTTTGAATTAATGATCCTAGAAATATGCACACAACACTTTTTGAATTGTGTTAGGGTTTTTAACACAATTCAACCCTAACACAATTCAAAAAGTGTCCTGTGCATATTTTAAATTGTGTTAGGGTAAGAAAAAAAAAAGAATTATGTTAGGGTTCGTTTATTTAGTGTTTCGAAACGCAATTTTAGTTGAATATACGTGTTTACTTATATAGTATGTTTGTTCTCTTTTAACCAAACAAGTCTGGAATTATGAAAAATGTAATGAGATCAGAGGGATCAAAGTTTAATTAAGTTGCAGTCATACAGAGAAACTTGTTCTAGTGATCTCCTAGCAGCGAAATAAATTTAGTTATACAAAAGAAGATTGTTTGTCCATTTTATTTGTTCAAAAACTAGGCAACAAGTAATAAAATCAAAATTATATTTTCGAGGCCCATTAATGGAGATCGAATAATACAAATAACAATCCTTCTTCTTTTTTTCCAAAAATTAGGCTACAACAAAAATAAAGAAAAAGAACAAAATTATACTTTTAGCTATTTCAAATAAAAACCCTAAATTTGTTCGCTGCAAGAAGGAGAAGAAATGGATCATGGATGAGGATCTCGTCTTGATGATCTCTCCAACGTCAAAAACAGATAAGATCGGTGAAGTCCTCGACCCCAAATCCATCACTACCTTATGATTTGCTATTGAGTTGCTTTGCACGCGTATCAAGATTGTACTACCCAACTCTCTCCTCTCCTTAGTCTCCAAAAGCTTTCAAACCCTAGTTGTTTCACCGGAGCTTTACAAGACTCGATCTTTCTTGAACCGCAAGAAGTGTTGTCTCTACGTGTGCTTAAAGTTCCCTTCTGACCCTAATCGATATTGGTTCACTCTCTGCCGTAAACCAAATTCAAGTGGATATGCTTTGGTCCGATTCCAAATCTACCATCTGCCTCCATCGACTCAAGAAAGAGAAGTCAAGTACAACAATCTCGTAGGCGTATCTTACAAGCCAAAAGAAGATAGATGGGAAGATGTAAGCAAGTGGGAGTTGGAGTCAGGCTAGGATGAGATTTTCTTTCTTATTGCGTTATAGACAACGTACTCTATAGTTATCAATTATCACGGAGGTCGAATCAATATTGGTTCGACTCTAATATAGGAAAATGGAAGAATTGCCTAAGTTTGCTATTTCTAGTTATATTAAGTTGGTGGAGTATGGTGGAAAGATAGTAGTTTTATGGGACAAGTGTAAGCCTTGTAATGAGTACAAGAATACGACGATTTGGTGTGCAGTGATTTCCCTTGAAAGGCACAACACTGAGGAGATTTGGGGAAAGGTCGAGTGGTTTGATGTTGTGCTTGCAGTTCCTCTTTCTTATGGATATGTGGGTGTTGTTGCTGTTACTCTTTGATGCCATAATTAAGAGAGACTTGAATGTATACTATACCAATTTTTATGATTGGATGATTAATTTTGTCTTGCGTATTTTAGCAAATTTCGTGTTACTTTCATGGTTAGCACAATAATTAACGTACAAGTAATTAGCTTAAGTATTTTTTAATGCATGACTCAACGATGAAGTCCTTACACGGGTTGTAAAAACTGACAATGGCTAATCTTTTCTTTGTCAAGATTAAAGAAGAAAAAGTGATCATCAGCTATATTTTTCTTAATTATTTACAGAGATATGTGTTTTGTTAAGGTCGAACCAAATTTTCAAAAGAGCAATGTACTTGTACTTATATGAACGTAGTCTTTGTGGGTGCTATTGCTGCTACTCATTGATGAATGCCATACAAATCAGATTTATATATGTGTGTTGAATCTGTAGTGATTTGTGGGTATTATAGTATATCATTCAGCACATATTCAAATGTTCTTAATGCTATATATAGACAATGTCTATTACACTATACGTCTCATGAGTCACATTCATCATACAGTAGCATAAAGAGTTTGTCAACAAAAAGTTTATCAAAAGAGGCAGAGAAGTTCCAAAAATAACACTAAATAAGCTGAAATCATCCAACAAAGCGGATACATATAAGCAAAAACATGTCAATCATTCTTTACTCTTAAAACAAAAAACATTCATCCCAAAGTGACATTCAAGAAAAGAAAGAAAGCGAGACAACCAGATTCACTATTACATTCAAACATGTCAAACAGTAGCAGATTTGGCACACACGAACTTGTAAGACTTAGGGACTGTAAGAACCGCATCGAACCACTCAAGCTTCCCCCAAATCTCTTCATCGTTGCGTTTCTCAAGCGAAATCTCTGCACACCAAATCATCTTCTCCTTATACCCACTTGAAGGCAAATACTTGTCCCACAAAACAACCATCTTACCACCATAATCCACTAACTTAACAGTACTGTAATTAGCAATCTTAGGTAGCCCTTCTAAACCCTCTACTCTTCTCCAAACTGCTCCGTCATCTTCATGTGCACCCAATATACACTTTACACGAGGGTCATAATAAAAGGCTACGTTATCTATCACACAAACAGAACCCAATTGAGTAACCAAACCTACCAGTTCCCATAACAAACCCTTTGGCTTTAAAGCCATTTCCCTATTAGTAGCAGTAGAATCTACACCAGGGATCAAGTAAATCTTTCCTTCCATATTTTGGAATTCCATTATTCGTTTTCTGGACGGCACGGTGTTCCAAGCTTGAGTCTCGGTGTTGTACACTTCAACACAGTTCAAAGAATCTGGACTTTCAGAGCTTCCTGCCAAATACATTTTCCCATCAAAGTCAGTATTGGTGTGAGCCAGTCGCATTCTTGGAGCTTCAGGCCAAGTGTGAGTTCGACAGTCGAGGAACCAAACGTTAGAGCATG